CACCCCTATACCCCTTTTCACCTTGTAGATCCTCCTCCTCCTAAGCCAATCATAAACTTGCATTTTCCAACTTTTCTCTGCTTATGAATGTTGTATAGTGAGTGTAAAAATCAGTAATTCTGTTACTTTATGGCATATCTCATCCAGTCATCCCCTTGCCTTTTCCTCTCTTAACTTTCCTCTCCACACACCAAACTGTAAAATATTAGAGAATTACCTCCTGATAAATATTTTTTTTATTAATTAGATAGCCATGAATACACCTAAATGCATCTTTTACTGTTTTATATAATAGAAATATAATTTTGTTTGCTTTAAATGTTTTATTTATATGGCTGTAACTTTTCCCCTTTTCATTCAAAACCATTGGTTAACTGCATTGACTTTTTTCACCTTTTTTTATTTTCATATGTATTTAACATATGAAAATAAAAATGACAGTTTCTGGTTTGTTACATTGAGCTCATAACCCATTGGTGCTAGGCACATGGACTGTTCATTAGGTTTTTGTGAATTTTGTGAACCTACATGGCTGAAATCACAGTGGACTGGGCATGTAAAAACTTCTAGTGGCAAAGTGTTACTATACCAACAGTCAAAGTTTGCCTTAATGGGTCTTGCAGCATGGAGATAAAAACAAGCCTGAGGCCTTGCAATTCTTGGGGAGGGAATCGTGTAAAGCACAAAGTATGGCGGGAGCAGTAAATGGGCTTTGGCTACATGTAAGGGTAAGGTTAGCCACATGTGTGCCACCCCTGCTCTAACCTCCCTTTTCACTCCTGTTTCACTATTTCTTCCTTATCCTAAAACATACCTTTCCTTTTCATTGGAGAGAGCACAAGTGTCACAATTGTTGTTTTATGCTGAGCATTCATTATTGCTCTGTTATTACTACTGTAATCATAATTGATGATTAAATGAGTAAGAATGATGATAGCAATTATTAAAGAATATATATAATAGTAGTAGCATTGATAATTGATCATTATAATTGTAATAATAATGATATATGAATGATGTTAGTAATTGATGATACTGACTGCAATAGTGAAAACAGTTAAAATAATGTTATTTGAAAAGGTAAACATGATATTGTTAATCATGATGTGAATGGTGTTATGTAATTGCTGTTCAGTGTGAAAGTATACCCCAAATTTGCAAATAATGATTACTTCAGCGATTGAATGAAGTGTATGCTGCAGTATGGAAGTGATTTTTTTTAGAGAAATAATTCCATAGGACTGATTGCATGTGTACATATTAGTTATGATATTTTGTGCCTGTCTAAATAACAGGCAAGGTTTATGAAGTGTCTTGGATGGATGTGCAATATATAATATCTTCTCTATAGAAAGTCATGTCTATGTATATATTTTTTGGGTGTAAAGATATATATTTGTAATAAATGAAAGAAATAAGATTTACACTACTTTGTTGCTTGGAAGAAAATCACATTATAAAATTTTACCATCTTTGGAAAGCTTGTTAGCTTTTAACCACACATTTTACTTTATTATGAAGAATTTGTAAAATTGTGTTGCTGATTTTCCTTTTTTTATATTAACTAAGAAATAGTGTTTTGAGAAACTTTAGATTTTGAATTAAAGTGATTATTGTTTAAATATCTTTATATGGTTGCAGAAATATGATTTCTTGGACTTGCGTCATCTTTTCCGGTGGCAATTAAGGTGTCTCGTGATCAGAGGTGAGACAGGCTGCTAAGCTCGACCCACTTCTGTAACATATTGGGAATGGTTGCCATTTTACAGTACTGGTTATTTTACAGTACTGGTTAGAGTATTTTGAAATATGATATCCTAGATGGCTTTTTAAATCTTATGGTGGGTTGTGTGGTGTTATATATATATATCCAATATAAGTATTATTATGCATGAAATATCCGAAGTAGAAAAAATGCATCTGGCAACTCAATGAATATTTACGGCCTACTCGATTCCTGTTGTGCGAGAGGTGTCGCGTTTGCAGTAACCACTGGAAAAGATGGCAATGATAAGTGTAT